CAGTCAGTCAGTCAGTCAGTCAGTCAGTCAGTCAGTCAGTCAGTCAGTCAGTCAGTCATCAGTCGAATCATCGAAGCAATCAGCCAATTAGCCAACCAATCAATCAATCGAGTAATCCATTATCCAATCGCCAAAATGGAACCAGAAACGACGACGCCAATAAGTAATACCCCTCCAACCCCGACAATCAATGCCGAATGGATCTACGAAACCTATAAGCAACAACAACAGACCAACGCCACCATCCTACAGCTACTCCAAAACCTACAATCACAACCAAAAACTCAATTAGAACCTGTAGTTCAACCAAACTCCCCAATCCAGCCTCAGACTGCAACCATTACCCCTCGTACGACCTTCCGGCCTAAGCACACTCTTCCACAACCAGAATACTCTCATTCGGACCCGTCTACATACCCCCAATTTAGAGGCCTTCTAAGCCAGAAGCTTAGGGTAGATGCCCTAGCTTGTGGCGACTCGGAACGGGACCAGGTATAGTACGGCTTCGCCTGCTTAAAGGGGGAAGCCTCCTCTCGCATCTTCCCCTGGATCGACTATACCGAGAAGGTCGGAACACAATTCATAGTACAAGCCTTCCTAGAACAGCTAGACACAGCCTTTTCGGATCCTCAAAAGGTACAGAAGGCTATAGCTAAGGTCAACCAAATCAAGCAGAGAAGGAAGCTATTCTAGGAGTACTTACAAGAGTTTGAACAGACTCTTTTAGAAGCAAGTGGCTAGGGATGGGACGATATAGTCAAGAAAGGGTTCCTCAAAGCCGGGATCAACTATAAATTGAAGTCGCTCTTAGTCTCTCAATCGGAACCACCCTTGTACACCGGGTACGTCAGCCTCCTACGACTCACCTCGGACAACCTTAAAGCCCTCGAAGCCTCTTCTTTATTCTAGCCTCGAGCCCCTCCAAAAACCCCTAAAGTTATAGATTGGCAACCAACCAACAGAGTCTTTGTATTAAAGGAGATACAAAGCTCTAGGATCGCTAATGACTAATGTCTTAAGTGTGGGAAGCTAGGCCATATAGGTCGAGACTGCCGAATAGGATGGAGGCTCCCACAAGCTATAGTAGCCTAGTACGGACTAGTTATAGCCTAGTAAGAAACTAAGAAGGTTACAGACTCGGGAAAAGACTAAACCCTATACGAAGTCGTGTACAAGGGGAAAGAAAGGCTGTCTTTAAGGCAATTATCGAGAATACTCTACCCTAGAGTACATAAGAGCAATAGAAGGATTTTAAAAAGGATATGTTTTGTGAGCCATTTGCTATATCCGGATTTATTAACGGAATAGCCCAAGCTAATATAATAGTAGACTCAGGTTGTCTTTCCTATGCTTTATGTGACCCTCGATTTGCTAGACAAAATGGCCTCGAACGCATTTTAGTCTCTCCTCTTAGATTAAAAGGCTTTGATGGGTCTAAGGATAGGATAGCTACTAAGGTAGCTATCTTAGATATAGACCTTGATGGCTATACGGAACAGATTTTTGCTTATATTACACCTCTCTTAGGTCATAATATCTTTCTTAGACTACTATAGATTTACAAACGGGATGTTCACTTGCAAGGGGACTAAAAAACCCTCCGAATCGGCACCAATAGCCCCACGATACGATCTCAAGCCACTCAAGAATTAGTGCTTTCGGCTATTAATTAGCCACACTTAGTCTCTACTATAGCCTTTGTACGTGCTATTAGACAAAAGTGCTAAGTATTCGCCGCTAGTGTAGCCGATATCAATAAGGCTCTACAGAAGCTAGAGGCCTAAGCAATAGTTCCAGATTTATCGAAGCTCCCGGCCCACTATCACCAATTTTTACTTATCTTTGACCGACGCGAAGCCGATAAACTACCACCCCTAAGGAGTACTAGAATCGATCATAATATCGAACTAGATAGCTAAGTCGAACCGCCCTGGGGACCCCTATATAGTATGTCAAAGGACGAACTATTAGTACTACAGAAGACACTCTTAGACTATTTAAGCAAAGGCTTTATCCGAGTTAGTAATAGTCCGGCAGCAGCCCTAGTACTATTTGCCAAGAAGCCAGAAAGAGGCCTACGATTTTGTGTCGATTACCGAGCCTTAAATAAGCTTACTAAGAAGGATCGTTATCCCCTCCCCTTGATCTAAGAAACACTACAATCCTTAGCTAAGGCTAAATGGTTTACTAAACTCGATGTTATTATAGCTTTCTATAGGCTACGCATAGCTTAAGGGGATGAATGGAAAACTGCTTTTCAAACCCGTTATAGCCTTTACGAATGGCTTGTTACCCCC